AAAATTTGGTATTTCTTACACGTGAAATTCAACATATTTGTAGTTTTGCGTCAAAATTTCAGCCCAATTGATCATAACAGAACACATTTATAACATGTTAAACTTGGCTAGTTTGTATGAAAACGACCTTTATCCGATCAACTTTGCACCACAGTGTACGTAGGTACGAAATGCTGGATTGAGGTTAAAGTAATAAATTTAGGAACAATTTGTGTCATATCTGTATTACGGATTGTTGCTAAGCTTCTTGCTTCAGGAATTGTATTGAATACCTGTCAATCAACAAAACTTACTACGGCAGCAACTGAATTCTTCAGATGTGTTAGCGCTCACAGGATAGTTCATATCAGCCACCATGATGCTGAATTGAAACAATCAATTTGCGACGACAGATTTCTAAATAGTCCTAGTGTTAGTACCGTGGACCCTCGGTGAAATAAAAAAAAAAACATATTAACGAGCAAATAAACCACAACTTGATTGTACATTTCGCTTACCAAAGCCACATCTCTTACTTCGTTCGTTATGAATGGGCTATTTTTCAAGTTAATCCTTTAATCAACGAAAATTGCCGCTAGGAAAACTTTGTTGGTCATAACCATCCGACGCCTCTTCTCCATGTTCGATAAGAGTGTAGTAGCTAGGTCGCTTTCCATCGTTTCCAAAACAAAACAACACTTTCCCCACATCAAGAACACGAGTTGGTCTTCCAGTTGAGTTTGTTATTTCGATGTCGCATTGAAACGTCGCTTAGCGACGTCTCATTGCGAAAAGCGCATGAGCTTCGGCTCACGCGACGTTGCATGATACTCGTTCTCATGAAACGCATACATCCGGAAATGTGCTGTGCTTACAAAACAGTGCGACACACAGACATTATGAGAATGTGATATGCGACAAAACTGAAGAGAGAGAAACAGAGTGCTACAAATCTCTTGCGCATGAGACTGCTATGATTATGAGACTATTCGTATTGCGTCTCGCATACGGTAGCGCGCGCACTGGAAGCCTGGGCCCAAATTAGGGACACTTAGGCCAACATTACATACATTTCCCCTATCACTTTTCTTTTTCAAGTCGCTCTGTGCACAAAAGCAATGGTCATCGCAAAAATCTAATAATAGAAAACAGGGGGGGAAACATCAGCTCAAACCATTCTCAATCAAATTATCAGGCCCGGGATACAAAACCATGTTTGGCATACACAGTTTTGGTCACAAACTGCTCATTTGCTAATAACTTTGCTGTGTGCGCAATTCTGTTTGAAGCAGTAGATAGAATAAAGTTTGAGGTTGTAATAGGTACGTAAGAAAAGGTAGATTTTAATTCTAGTAATAAACTGTATTTGTTTTTGCGTTGTAAAAATGAAGTGAGAAATGCTCGCTGCACATCTCGGACTTTAATTGTAAAAATTCATTGGTGTTGATTCAAATGTCAAGATTTACCTTTTCTTTGCATATCTTTAGTAAGCTATGATCCTAATCTATCAATTACTTTAAAGAAAATCAATTTTCAATAACTAAGTGAAAAGTTATTAACAAATGAGCAGTTGGTGAGTACAACTGTGCATGCCAAGCATGCACAAAACTATTCAAATGCGAGCACCGAAAAACTACACGCCAGCACAAAGATAGCACGAGCTCTACAAAAAAAAAGTGCGCAGCGGAGCAAAAACACACAAACGTTCTCCAACGCTTCTCAAAGCGGACATGTGTAAGAAGTTAGAGCTATTTTCCAAAAACACACATTTTCTCATTTTACTATCCTCCTAATTTAAAAAATTAAAATAAAATGAAAATAATTCTCCTGATTTGAAAAAAATAGAAAATCGACCGTTTTACTAAAATTACTCAAACTTCATGCATACCTACTCTGCCAATAAAGCCCAAAGCTATACTGATAAATCAATAAATAGTTGTTCAACCACTAGCGAAGATTTCAAAAATCTATCTACTCGCAGTCTTTCAAAAATTGCCCATTCAGGGCAATTTTGAGATGCACTGCAGATTTTAAGATAATTCAGACCCTCCTCCTCCTGTTCGTCCATTATTTTTTTTTTGTTGGAAATGTGTAAAGACATGTCAACCTCCCACCCTTAAAGTGTCCACGTAGCTTATGAACAGCATCCTAACAAATCGATTGTTGAACAAATTTTCTTAAGACACCTTCTATCTGATTCTGTTTACATGAACCAGTGCACTACCACGACCGTAGTAACCACAGTAGCGCACAACCATTGAGTGAGATCGCTCACAGGGTCTCTGAAATGCGACGAGTGTCGGAAGCCACCTCAGAAAACAGCACGCAAGGGAGCGCAAGTATAATGTTACTGCTCACCGTTCTTTCTACTCCCGTTTCATTCTTTTCCCGGAATATCCTTTCGAGTATCCTCGACAAACGTATCCGTCCTTAAAGTTGGCTTTATTGTACACACGTGGCGGTTCGGTGTATAAAAAATGTTTATTGCCTCGAAATCAGTTGGCTACTAACTGGGGATTCTATTATCTACATCTATCTATGCCTAAACCTAACGTCGTGTTGTATTCCTGTGTACGTGTTATCAACTTTATCAGTGTCTATTAGTGTTAGCGTATCTGTACAAAAACTGTAGGGGTGCTCAATGTGTATTGTGTATAACAGTTATAAATTTCAATTTGTGTTAGCAGTCATTCAATTTTATCCTTAAATCCAAGTTAACAGTAAACATTAGCGGCCCCCTTGAACTAGCTTCAATAAATTCATTCAAAATTATAAATTCAAAATTCTTAATTCTACATGTCCTAAGTTGATGGCAGCGTCGAGTTTCTTGCAGCCCGTTCTTTTTCGTCCTCGGTAGGCAACAGGCAGATTCGGTTGACCGCACGCTTGTAGACTCCCGTCGACGTTTTCACCGTAACCACGCGCACGACTCCATCTGATCCAGGATGCATCTCGATGATTCTCGCAAGTGGTCAGAACAATGGTGGAAGTTTGTCCTCTTTCAGCACGATGATATTGCCAATCCACAGGAGACTGGTAGGCAAATTCCAGTTGCCAGTAGCGCTGGAACATTTGCTGCGTTTGCTGGTAGTGGTTAAGGCGGTTTGTGGGGATAGTTATTAGGTTGGGTTCTGGGAGGGCTTTCATGGCTGAACCAATCAAGCGCGGGGTAAGCGCTAAAAATTCGGAGGGATCGTCTGACAAGGGTCTTGAATTCAGTGCAGCGGTGATTTGCACTAATATCGTGGTGAAATCTTCTTGGCATAGTTTTTGAAGGCCGATTTCCCGTGTCAGGGCGGTTTTCACGAAGCGCATTGCAGTTTCCCACAGTCCTCCGAAATTGGGAGCGCGTGGTGGGATAAATTTCCAAGATATTCTTTGCAGAACAAGCTCATTGCTGATAGCCGTCCAGCTTTCGTTGTTATTCAGAAGATCATACAACGCTTTGAGCTCGTGATGAGCTCCAGCAAAGTGTTTAGTGTTATCGGAGTGAATTTCTGCAGGGATTCCACGATGGCCAATGAACCTTTGGAAGACGGATAGAAATCCAGCCGTTGATATATCATATCCAATCTCTAGATGCATTGCCTTCGTAGAAAAGCAGACAATGACTGTGATATACACCTTTGGAGATGCAGCATTTCGACGAGAAGGCTTCAAATAGAAGGGTCCGCAATAGTTCACTCCGGTTATCAGGAATGGTTTTTCTGGGCGGACGCGGCCTGCTGGAAGTTGTCCCATCGGTTGCTAAACGGTTTTTGGGTGAGTACGGAAACAACGAACACATTTTTGGAGCAACGAATTTACGACACGCTTACCGTGAATTGGCCAAAACTCTTGACGCGTTTCAGACAGCGTTAGTTGCGGTCCACAATGGAAGTTTCTATCATGATGGAACTGCACTACCAATCGCGTAAAGGGATGATAACTTGGCAATACTGCAGGATGTTTGGTAGCAAAGCCTTCATTGGCATATCTCAGACGTCCGCCAACTCTGATTATACCGTCGTTGTCGAGAAAAGGAGATAGCCGCTTGAGATCGGATTTACAATCAACTAGTCGCTGTCTCTGTAAGTTACGAAGGTCCTCAGGAAATTGTTCAACCTGCACGATTCGAACAAGGACCAGTTTTACCGACTGGATCTCTTCCTCAGTCAAATAAGCGGTACTTATGCGGTTATCCAGATGACGACAGTTGTGATAAAATCGAGGACAATAAGCAACGATCCGCAAAAGTGGGATTAACGAAGAACGCAGAGTAAAAATCTCGTTTGGATCTGGCGCAAGGATAACTTTGTGGACAGCCTTACGGGTTTCCAGCGCTTCGTCGGCGAAGCTCGATTCTGTAACCTTATTCAGCCAAGTTTCTTCAGCGCCCTGTAGCCATAACGGTCCCTTCTTCCACAGCTGTCTTTGCAGAAAATCATCTATTGGTAATCTCCGAGATACCAAATCAGCAGGATTCTCCTTTCCAGCAACATGTCGCCATGGATGATTGTACGTAAGCGTCTGATTAGTCGAAACCCTGTTTGCAACGAACGTTTACCATGAGTTGGGAGGCGCACGTAACTAATGCAAGACAATGGTACTGTCTGACCAGAAGATAGAGCGTACATTATCCAATGACAGAGAGCCTTTATCACCTCGGAGTGAAGACGAGCAGCTTCTCTAGCCGCGCAGAGTTCCAGCCTTGGCAAAGTTAATCTCTTAAGTGTCGCAACGCGTGACTTCGACGAGAGTAGCTCAATCCGCACGCTTCCTGCTTGATCCGTCGCCCGCACTTAAAATCAAATGGGAATGGAAAGCCTTCCATTTCTTCTCGATGTCAGAAGGAACAGGCTCATCCCATCCAGACTTCAGCAAAGCTCTTGCATGATAATTTTCGCCGCAACGATTAGTGGAGAAATCAATCCCAATGGATCGAAGAGTTTGGCAATAGCAGACAAGATGCTCTTTCTAGTCCAGATTTGCTCATTTGCCGCTACGTCGTAGTTGAAGCGTAATTGATCAGTCCCGGGCTCTCAGGTGATTTCCAAAGTTTTCACCTTCTCTTCCGGACTGATTTCGAATGAAATCGATAGATTTGTTCCTAGTTGGTCGGCAAGGATACCAGTCAAAACCTCTGGCCGATTTGAACACCATTTTCGCAAAGCAAATCCTCCTTTCTTTAGTAGAGTGCCTAGATTATTCTGTAGTTGGATGGCTCCTTCTATACTGGATGCTCCACCAATATAGTCATCCACGTAGAAATCTTTCACTAGCGCATTGCTAGCTTCGTGTACCAATGCCTGTCGGTACATTTTCTCTACATCTCCGACCAGCGCCACTTCATGCTTCCGGAATCGTAGCAGCAGACATAGCAATTCATCCTGAATCGTAGGACCTTTTAGAAGAACGTCATTCAACGAATATCCGCTATCCGTGCAAGCAGATCCGTCAAATACAACGCGTACTTTGGTTGTAGAGCTGGATTCCTTCAGTACAGCGTGGTAGGGTAAATAGAAGAATTTTCGGATATTCATCGCATTATCCTTCCCTCGAAGTTCGTGCTCACGAACTTCCCTCATTTGCCCTAGATCGAGATACTCTTGCATGAAAGTATTGTACTGCTTACGCATCTCTAAATTTTGTTCTAACTGCTTCTCCAGCCTTAAAAACCGTGTAAGCGCCATTGATCTGGAGTCGCCCAACATCTGTGCGAAGTTAACATGCTTTGGCAAGCAAACAACGTAACGTCCCTCCTCCGTTCTGCTAACTGTTTTCACGAAATGCTCTTCGCAGTCCCGTTCCTTCTTGGACCATGCCGGTTGATCCTCGTTGCTCTCTATCTCCCAAAACTGCTGTAGTAGAATCTCCAAATTGTCTGGCGCTGCCGAAATTAAACAGCTGACTGGATTGTTGTACGTATCTGACACTTTGCCGGTCACGATCCACCCGAATACCGAATCGATCAACACTGGAAGTCCAGTCCCCTGGGAAATCCGCTTGACTTCTGGCTCAGACAGGAACCGATAGAAATGTTCAGCTCCGATTAGAAGATCGATCCGACTGCTGGTGTTGAATTCCGGATCTGTCAACTGAATATCGCCTGGAATGTTCCAGTGGGCCGTTGGCACGTGAACTGAAGGCAATTCTGACGTCACCTTCTGAAGAATTAGGAATTCCACTCCAATTGAGAAGTATTTGATCCTAGAGCTGATTGCAGTTTTTACAAGGAATCTCGCCCTTGTTTCCGCTTGCCCAATGCCGCAAATAGGAACGTTGACTGCCCGTCGCTTCAAGCTGAGTATTTGGCATAAGCGCTCACTCATGATGCTTACCTGCGACCCATTGTCGAGCAAGGCTCGAGCTAGATGTTTCCCTCCGTTTTGGTCTCGCACGACCAGTACAACAGTAGACAAGAAAACGCTGTAGTCCCTACGTTGTATGTTCCTACCGCTTCCCGCTGTTCCGCGTCCTCTTGTTCTGATTCTTCGTCGTTTGTGACAAAATTTGACGATAACGCCTTTCCATCAGCCTTCTTCATTGATTTTCCAGAGGATTGAGAACTGCTTCCACCACAACTGCTCAGAGGGAATCCAGGGTGAATCAACGAATTGTGTTTCTTTCCGCATTCGCGGCAGCTGAACTTGAACTGCATTCTCGAGCCCAATGCCTGGATTTCAAACAGTTGCTGCACAATCGCTTGCTGTTCACGAACTGCAGCTTCTCCTTAAAAGTCATCGCAGTAAATTTTCCACATCGACCCAAGTAATGGTTATCTCCACAACAGCAGCAGCTTGGAACACTTCTCTCGTTCTCCGCAGCAGCATGAACGATCACTTTCTGACGTCTGACCTCAGTCTTCTGCAAACCGCTCCTTGATTCGACAGCATTCGATGAAACTGCGTCTAACACCCTTGTCCTCTTCTCCATAAACTCCACGAAGAATGCAAAAGTTGGATCCTTAGTTGAAGCAGCGTGGTCTTCCCAAAGCGCCCCAGTGATCTGTCTTCTCTCCCAACTGCTTCAGGATTTTCAACCTTTGCTCAAATTCATCGACCAATGCATGTATGGCCGATGCTGACTCCTTCTCCACCTTAGGGTACTCCATTAACGCTTGCAAATGCCTCTTCTTAAGGAGATACTCATTTGAATACCGCTTCGAAATCGTCTCCCACGCAATAATATAGTTCTCGCTGGTGAGCGTCAACGATTCGATGAGTTTGGCTTCTTCACCTTTGAGCGCCGACTTGAAACTTTTGGACTTCACTCAGCTCATGAATCAATGAAATGTAGGTTGACTTGAATGACAACCAGCTCTTGGAGTCACCATCGAATTCCGGAAGCGATATCTGCGGCAGTCAAACTCCGGTATGAGCACCCAAAGCGCTGGCATTCCGTGCCATTGTGTTGTCAAACTCATGTCCTGAAGCCTGTGTTGGCAGTTTCGCTATCAAAGCTGCACGAAGCGCATAGTAGATTTTCTCGAACTCCACGTAAGTCTTGCCGTATTCCTCATCGTAGATTCCTTCAGCATCCACCGCAGCAATCTGTACTTCCTCGAACTCATCGTACTTCGCATCGATTTTATCCAACCGCGATTGCACTTGACCCGCATGGACATCTGGATTGAACTCATCCAGGAATTGCACATGTCTGCTTTTATTTTTTTTTTTTTTTTGACGCTCAGACATACCCACAACCACTACCAGCTCAACAAGAAGAAGTGCAAATCCAGACGACCGAGAAAAGAATCAAAAACAACCAAGGAGTACCGCTCCCGTGTCTATTCTAGCCTTGAATGTGTCTTCTTCGTACTTAGAATTATGGCTGTTGCAATTTCCCACTACTGCAGTACAGACTATGCGCAGTGTCTCCAAACAACCCAGCAAATCCCAAAAAGGGACGAAAAATCCAAAATAGCACTGAATTTACAATTATAAATGGTTGGACAGGTACTAACCTTGTACTGTACGTGTCAACAACAGGCCTTTATTTATGACGCCTCCAACTCCAACCAGCTTCCAAATCAATGGTTCAATACCACTAACCTTCCATGGATGCGTAACTGAATACCTTCCGTTGATCGATCCGCCACTTTACGTTGTAGCAGTACTGCACGCAACGTACGACGTCACGCCCTCCAGCAGTGCTCTACCTCCAGCCCGAAATCCGTTGTGTCCGGGATAGTTCACGTGGACCCGTTTGAAATTTTCCTTCGATATCCTTGAGCCACCAACAATGTGTACAATGTGGGGTAACCGATCGTAACCAAGGATCAACCGTACTGAAAAGGATAAAAAAGGTACCCTATAGCACCACACAATTGACGTAAATTTATTGAACAGGCACTCACCTGAGGCCTGTCAACAATAGGCCTTGTATTAAAAATCAAATCGCCAACCACCGTTGAACCTTCTCGAGCTATCACTTCAGCTGAAGTGATGTAGTATGCTATCGGTGGTATATATAGCCCGTGCTTTCGTTACGTACAGTTAGCTCGCCGTAAATCAGGCGGGAGGAGTAATGATCAAAAACTCGAGTTCATGGAACCAAAAAACGATCTCAGTAGCACCAATAGGCTGGTAAATGTAAATTGGAAAGCCACTCACCTGTGGCCTATTCGAAACAGGCCTTGTATTTTTGGTTAATTTTATTGCTGCTACAAGATTCCGATGTCGCACGACAATGCCTCGTCGTGCCCAAATGTTTTGCGAACAGGTGCTGCAGCAACTCATGCAACGAATGAAGTATAGTCAGGAATCCTTATTGCCGGGCTAACAGGGGTGTGAATAAGGAACCGCGAATAAGGATTCCCACAGCTTATGGGTTTTTTACTAATAGGGGCTGTGGGGGATTATCTCATTTGTTTCAATATATAGAGCTATACTGTCTTGGACAAAGCTGTTGTACTGGGATAGACCAAAAATCCTGTGTCATTGGATTCATGTTGGAATTCATTGGGAACTACGCCGCTAGAGGCGCTTCACTTTTATGTTACTTATGACGGGTGCTATAATATACGGATCATAGGTCCAACATAGAATATTTCGTGATCCTGGCCATATAGAAATTTTCTGTCTTCAGCAAAGTTGTTCAAGTTGTTCGAATGGTGGCCATATTAGTTCAGAACTCTCTCACAGTGTAATAGCACAAACGAAGTGACAGACGGAGCGGCTCGAAAACTTTGGTGACTAACCTGCTATTTCAATTTTTCAGTGTACCACATGGCAACACCACTACTACTGGATTGTACCACATGGCAACACTACTACTGGTTTGTATTAGCATTTTCACCAAATATATTAGAATGTTTTGGTTCTATCTCTTTCACTCTACTCAAAATTGAAATGCATAAAAAAATGACAAAATGATACATTCTTTGCACACTGTCAAATAATTATTGTACACAAAATCAACTTTGTTCAAATCAAAACAAAAAAACTAACCCATCTGGTGGATGATGGCACAAGCTTCCAAGAAAATTCTATTACTGTGAACCACATTATTTTAATGGATTTCTTCGCCAGTTAGTCGTCTGTCACTTCGTTTGTGGTAATAGTGTGCATATGAGCTTGCTATATAAGCTGTATCTCAAAATTCTGGCCATATAGAAGGTTACTATCTTCAGCAAAGTTGTTTAGGGGTATCATGTCCTTTTGTACGGTGTTCATATTAGTTCAGAACTCTCTCACTACGCAGCGCTAGTGTGCATGTGAACTTCCTATATAAACTGTATCTCGAGAACCTGGCCATATAGAACGATGCTGTCTTCAGCAAAGTTGTTCAGGTGACCAAGTCCTTTCGGATACTCGTAAAATTATTTAAGAACTCTCTCACTACGTGGCGCTAGTGTGCACATGATTTTCCTTAATATGTTATGTCTGGAAAGCTTGTCCATATAAGATGTTGCTGTGCAATGTGAGGACATGAAACGGAATAGGGATGAAGTGTACAGAGGCTGTAATTCGATTTTGGATGCCATTTTAAAATCCAAGATGGCGGTCATCGATTCAAAAAAAACTGTCAAATACCCTACAATATGGGTATTTTCGGAAAAGGAACAATGTGTAGAGGCTGGAAATTGATGCCAGACGCCATTTTGAAATCTATGATGGCGGCCATCAGTTCAAGAAAAACTGTCAAATACGCTACAATATGGGTATTTTCGGAAAGGATATGACGTTTATAGGCTGGAAATGGATGCCAGACGCAATTTTGGAATCCAAGATGCCCCTATTAGTGAAAATCTAATAAGCTATGGGTATCTTTATTCGCGGATAGCCCGGCAATAAGGATCTGGCAATAAGGGATACCGGCAATAAGGGATACCAGCAATAAGGAATCCGGCAATAAGGATACCTGACTGTATGTTGAGTAGATGGGTGGGTACCCGTCGGGAAAGTACAATAACTGATGAACACTTTACTATAGAAAGATGTCGTCCAGGGCCATTTTGCCACAAGAACAATTCCACCGGGTGCGAGAATGGCCGTATTGTTTCCAACCGCGTATCCTGGTCACGACACCAAAATGTTGACCACTCCGTGGTTCGTGGGTCGGAAACCACATCAGAAAACAGCACGCACCCTAGTACGCAAGTATAATGTTACTGCTCACCGTTCTTTCTTCCCCCGTTTCATTCTTTTCCCGGAATATGCTTTCCAGTATCCTTGAAAAACGTATCCGTCCTTAATCCTTGCTGTCCTTTTTCCTCGTCCTTTTAGTCTTCCAAAAATATGTACGAAAACTACCAGAAATACTGTCGGAAAACTATCACACTTTATTTATTTACAAAAGCTGGCTTTCTTGTGCACACGCGGCGGTTCGGTGTATAAAAAATGTTTATTGCCTCGAGATCAGTTGGCTATTCTATTATCCACATCCATCTATACCTAAACCATACTTCATGTAGTATTCCTGTGTACGTGTTATCAATTTTATCAGTGTCTATTAGTGTTAGCGTATCTGTACAAAAACTGAGTTATAAATTTCAATTTGTGTTAGCAGTAATTCAATTTTATCCTTAAATCTAAGTTTACAGTAAACAGTAACGATATGATTTATTGCAAATTTATAATAGTTGTTTAATACGGGTAGACAGACGTTTTTGAAATGATGTCTGCCTGAAAGAGGAGAAAACTCGAATTAATATTTGAGCTTGGAAAATGTCGTGTTCTAATAGGAAACCATGATCTAATTTTAGTTAAAAAAGCAATCCAAGCATACTCATTAATTTTTGAAGTTTTAAAAAGGAATTATATGTTGAATGCTGACTCAAATCCACCCACTAAGGTTTACTGTAACTGAAAAGGCACAGAGAAGAAAAACTAACTTGCCATTCAACCCCGCACCCAATGGCACTTATCTAGCTATATCAAGGAATAATCCTCAGTAAGAGTCATAATTACATTATATGGATGCTGTTAAACTGGATAGTTGCGATGTTGTGTCTCCCACAAGTCCATACACAAGTTACCTTTATCGAAAAGCTAGGTGTCCTGAAAGGCATTAGAATCACTCGAAGATGATCTCCAATGACTCAAGGTCCGAACACAGATCGATGAATTGAAGAAATATGTGGATTAATCCAGCATTTTTGATCATTTTCACACTTGTAGTTTTGCTTGCATTTCTTGGAGCAGCTTCCTGAGCTAT